TCACTTGGCGCCTCCCTTGTCTTTTAGCCAAGTGAGATGGCGCATGCTCCTTAAAAATGAGTGGAGGCGCCATCTCACTTGGCGCCTAGGGCAAAACTAGGGTTTTTTTTGCTGTTTTATAAATAATTCGTCCGTTTCTTTGAAATTTCTCACACTTTCTCGCACTGTATTTTTATTTTGTACTCCCTTATTTACGTAATGACGTCGCCTATGATTTTTAGCAGAGATGGTTACGTTATATTCTCCGCCACGAAACCTGCGATGAAAATGAAATTCTGGCACATTCACTCCATGGAGCGTCTGAAGCGGGAGTTGATGCGGTGGCTAGATGGAGACATCACCGAGGGGGAAAAAATTCGAAGGATCCAGCGAAAACGAACAACAACCTCACATGCGACAGGAAGACCTAATGTGTGGTTGGAGGAAGTCAAAACAGACAGTGATGTAATGCTGATGATGCATGGGTCAGATGAAATTGTGTTAACAGTTGTAATTTCCTAGATTGAATATCGTTAATCATTGTTGTACGCGAAAACCCTAATGTAATTTCCTATATTGAATTTCTTAAATTGTGTTAACAGTTTTATTAACGGAAAACCCATAATGTTTACAACACAAATATTGAAAAGATTTATTGTATTACAAAATTTATGTGGTCGAGCCAGACGCCCGATTCAGACAGTTTTTGCGATTGTGTCTGACCTGACGGCATAAACCACACTTTCTTTCCAACCTGTCAAGATCGTCCATTTCTGTTGTGATGCGCCTGCTTTTGGGACGACCCTTCTTGTTCCTTCGCATTTGGTCATTGTGCCAAACTATATCGCCGTTGTATTCAGGCCAATAGTCCGGTTTTGCCACCAAAGGAAAGTTGTTGTTGTAAACAGTGAGCGACGTTTCAGATTTATAAACGTTTGAGATGACGCCAAGTGAGATGGCGCCTCCCTTACTGTCCAATCGTGATACATGCATGGGCTGCCACCTAGCCTGCAAGAGTGACACCTTACATTTTTTGTAAATGCATGCATGCATATGTGTAACACCCTAAGCATGCAAATGTGACACATCGCAGGCATGCAAGCACAAGCAACCACTACATCAAACTTATTTGCCTATAAATACATACCTTATGAAACATCTCTCACACCCACACAACTCTCACTCTCTGCTACGAAATATTTCTTAAGTCTATCATACTCTCTATTTCTTCCTAAGTCTTTCATACTCTCAAGCATTCTGAACAATGGCTCTTCTAACAATGGGCGATACTCACAGAGGCACAAGGGAAAACATTGCTGCATTTGTAAGTCTCTTCTTTGGTTATACATTTTTCATACTTCAAATAACGTGTTGTTCATCTTAATTAATCTTACACTTGTTTAATTATGATCTCAGGATACAAAAAGATTCAGAATCCGTTCGCACAACTACCTGGCTCCCGACCCATTTATCGTCCCTTATCTGGAATATGCAGGTTTTGGACATGTGATAAAGATCTCCAACTGCACCATTGACTCAAAATTCATTCTTGCAATGTTGGAGAGGTGGAGACCGGAGACCCATACATTTCACCTACCAATAGGTGAATGTACCATCACTCTCGAAGATGTGTACATGCTACTGGGCCTCCCTATCAACGGTAAGGCGGTGAACGGGTCGGTTCAACAACCCAACTCACAGTGTGAAGAACTGTTGGGTAGGGACATGGTAGAAGGTGGTGGAGCAAGAGGGCAGGGAATACTACTCACTGACCTGAAACGGCATTATGCAAGTATGGAATTAAATGAAAATTCCTCAGAGAATGACTGAGTAGTAAAAGCCAGAACGTATCTTATGATACTTTTTGCTACATTTTTATTTCCCGAAAGTACGGGAAATAGTGTAAATTTCATGTACTTACATTTACTAACAAATTTTGAAAAAACTAGAAAATATAGTTGGGGTTCTGCAGTATTAGCCCACCTGTACAGTTCCTTGTGCAAAAACGCTGTCAAGGAAAAATGTACATTTTATGGGTGCGCATATTTACTACAAGCCTGGGGTTGGTGGAGGATGGAGTCCTTAAACCCCATCAACAACAACACTTTTGGTTTCCCGTACGCAACAAAGTAAGTCATTAAGTTATAGCATTTATAACTATTCTGCTCTTTCCAAAATATATGCTAAAAATAACATGTTTCTCATTTCCTTTAGGTACTGCGTGAGGGGTATGGATTACGGCAAGAATCCCAGATTCAATGTCGCACTCTACCGGAATCTGTTGGATCACTTAGGCCCAGATGACGTACGTCGTAGCTTTTAACTTTTGTTCATTTTAATTATTTATACATTACTTTTGCGCTTACCTGATTTAAATTTTATCGCAGTTCGTCTGGAGACCATATTTGGGTTTGGGCCATTCTCCAAACCCAGAGGATGCAGCAACTTGGACTGCAAAGACTGCACTCATTCGGTTCAACATTGTGGAGATGCACCACAGCGACCGTGTGAAGATGCAGTTCGGAATGCATCAAGAGATACCAAGTGATCCAACAGATTTGTCCCCCTGGCATCTAAAAAGGGTCGACGCCCAGTGGGGTCTTACCAACTGGAAAGACTTTGCTCCAGAATGGTGTAAAATGTGGCAAAGGCGTCACCGCTACATCTTGCAATCCCCGGTTTTCCTTACTCAAGGTAACATGCGACACACTGATCAATATATGTCGTGGTACAGGTCGGTTAGTAACCCAGAAATGCACGTGTCTCATCCGAGGTACTTGGTTGACCCACGCACACAATGCTACCCCAAGATCCATTTCCTTTCTACCCCCCATACTCAGACGACCAATGCTACCGACCAACCATGGAACCCCACCCACCGCCAACACGACCAAACTTTGAGGGTATGGGTAACCGACTGTACCAGAGCGGATCTTCGAGATATGGAGATCTTACTGATTTTATGGATTCAGATCGCATTGACTTCGCTGGGCCATCGACCTTGCCGCAGCAGGAAACGAGACGGCATCCAGCAAGAGAAAGGCGAGGACGGGGATGCGGAACCGGGGGTCATTACCGGGTTCCGGGGGATCACTGATGTATCTTTTTTTTTCCCAGTATTTTTTGTATCCATTTTTTTTACTGTTCTTTTAATGTAAAACAGTTGAATGTAATTATTTTTTTTTTAAATAAAAAATCCATTTTGTTGATCTCTGTCTAATAGGCAACGCGCAGGAAAGAAAATAAAAAAAAAAATTTGCCCTAATTTTGTACATAGGCGCCATCTCACTTGGCTCAGGGCATGCCCTAAGCACTTAGGCGCCAAGTGAGATGGCGCCTCCCTTAAAAAAAGAAGTGCATGCGCCAATTGAGATGACTCCTCCTTTGTAGAGCCATCTCAAACATGGTTATTTGCGTAATTTTTTCCGAAACCCGATTATTTACGAAATATTATTTTAATACATGGTTATTAATAAAAAAAATTCTGAAATTATCGTACAAAAAATTTTATTTTGTATATATTATTTTTTGTAAAAAGTTTTTGTTTCATATGATGTAAATAAATTTATTAATTTTGTAGCACAAAAAAATAACATGATTTTATTGATGATAAGAAAATAATATCATATATTTTAATGATATACATAATAATAAAAATTCTGACATAAAATTTTTTTGGTAGAATTTTGAAATAAATAATGAAAGTAATGAGATGCAAATTTCAATATGTAAATATTATTTTTTGTAACAGAGAGACGTTAAATAAAAAAATAAAATCATAATTGAATAGGTAAGAGTTACTAAGTTTAATAGAGGTGAAATATTTTGAGATGTATTTTGAGAAAGACCACCTATAAATATTGATGCCGTGGGGAAAATGATTTTATATGATAAATAAATGTTTTATGTGGTAAATATGTTGGAGTTTTATTTTAATATATATAATAGATAATAGATACTAATAAAAATACTAGAAAAGTATAATATAACACCATTTTATCAGGTTTTTATTTCATTCAAATTAACCGATCATCTTCGGTCCAAATTCAATGCATATTAGACCACATGACTTTGTTGTCAATGTTGCATATCAGAGGCATAGATATTTAAGATATTTTTTTTTGTGTCAAATTTGTAGATATTGTCATATATATATATATATATATATATATATATATATATATATATATATATATATATATATATATATATATATATATATATATATATATATATATATATATATATATATATATATATATATATATATATATATATATATGTATGTGTGATGATCTATATTGTATTATTAATTCTAGTGTGGTGAATTTGTTTGCATTTTTAGCCGAATTTGCATTATTTTTTATCAGTTACTCTAATAAATCATTACAAGAAAAAATTATTAAATAAGAATAAAACTTAAATATAATTCTTTAAATGTAATTTTTATTATTTTTTAATGAAAATATAATTAATATATAATTTTCTCTTACACATATATACAAATTGTTTTTGTTTTCATTTTTTAAATAATATTTAAATATATTTATTATATTATTATTGGAAAATAATAAAAACCACATCTAAAAAATTATACCTAACATTTATTCAAATAAAAATACTCTATTTCATATCACTTAAAATGTCTAGAGATATTAATGTGTGCTAGTTCTTATAAATAGTGTTTCTTGAAAGTCCTATAAAAATACTCTAAATTAAAATTCTGGTAATGTATATTTTAGTTATAAATATAGTAACGTATTGGGAAAAACTCTTATATTAAAATGTTCCAAATTCTGAAACAAAAAAAATGATAAAGGTAGTCAAAAATTAATTAGAGAAACATTCTCTATAATTAGCCTATACCTACCACGTCCCTCCCTGTATTTCTCATCATCTTCTCTTTCCATCCTTGAAAACCTAAAAAAGAGAAAATAAAGGTTGAGAAACACTCCATCCCCAAGAACACATTCCCCTCCGGAAACATCTTCTCCTTTTTTTTTTCTGTGACCTAAACCACCATGAACACCAAAAACAATAACACCACTCAAGCTTGTGCTGCATGCAATTACCAACGTAGAAAATGTGCACCTGATTGCATCTTAGCACCTTATTTCCCTCATGATCGTCATAGACAATTCATCAATGCTCACAAATTGTTTGGTGTTAATAACATCAACAAAATCATTATGTATCTTGATCCTCCTCACAAGGATCAAGCCATGAGATCGATTATTTATCAATCTGATATGCGAGCCAATGACCCTGTTGGTGGGTGTTACAAATATATTCAAGATCTTCAAGCTCAAATTGAATATCATAAAAATGAACTTGATCTTGTTCATCAACAACTCGTCATTCTCCGAGCTCAACAATCTCAACAACAACAGCAACAACAAATTAATAATTATGGTGATCAAGTTATTATGAATCAAGATTCTTTGTTAGGATTCTATAATCCATCGGGATCTCTTGCCCCGACTCATTATCCTTACAATATTCAAAATCAAGATGTGCCACAATTACAAGAACCGAAACAAGAACAATACATTATGATGCAAGAAAGTAATAGTAGTAGTATTAATAGTACTACTCCTTCGCAACAATATGTTAATAATTGGGAGTTATGCAAAATTCTACTTTATCATCTTTATCATTGCATGGACAGAGCAGTAATACTAGTGATGATTATGATCATAAGCCAATTCTTGATATTCCTTGTGCTGAAAAAAATGAATTAGGGGTTGATTCCGAAGAAATACTTCATCACAGGTATATAGTTTTATTGCTTTCCATTTTCTTAATTAATGTTATATTTGATATGTGATGTAAAAATCCATGCATAACATATAAAATAAAGGGCCTAGGAGAAGTTCTAATGGCGATAATGAGATGAGACATCCCAAATCAATATCATCAGGTAATGAAGGCGAGGGATCACAATATCAAAATACCTTGTCGTCAAAATGGTGCATTGATGGTGAACACATACCAAATAATATAATGGAAAAGACAGAGAACTATATTAAAAGTCTTGTAGTTACACGAAAAAAATCATTCTGATGTGAACCAAGAAGAAAGAGACCAAAGAAAGACATAACACAACTTCCTTTCACAGAAGACATCAACGAGGAACCAATTATTAGATGGTTTCGACTTTCAAAGATGGAAGAATACAACAAAATGATGGATCAACAGGAGCTCCCGATCTCATTCAATGCCATGATTGTAACACCTCAACTATAAATAATTATTTTTAATTAGTTTATTTAATTTTTTTTGATTGAATATGTGTGTCCTTGTTGAACTATTGTTATTATTTATTTTATTATTGAGTTATTTTTGTGTTGTGAGATTTAGTGGTATTTTAATAATTTAATAAATAATAGAAATATATAGTTTTTAAGAGCGGAGAAATAAAATAAAATTATTTAAATTATTAAAAATAATTAGATATTATAATTAATTAAAGATATTTAGAGAAATTAGTTTAATAATTAAAAAATGATTATTTTATAATTAGTTGATAATTATATTCTTATTCAAATATTTATTAGTGAAATTTTTAGTTAAATAAAATAAGAATGTTATTTTAATTTTAATAAGATATTAGAGGAGTGTGAGAGTGAGGGGTGTGAAAATAATTTGGAATTTTTAGGGTTATATTTATTCTAACGTGAGAGGTTGAGAGTTTAAGAGAAAAGTCAGAGTTCAAAAAAAGAGACGAATCTATTTAGAATTAGTAGAGCGTTGGAGCGGCCGTGAGGAATGAGAAGAAAACCTTCAAAGCTTCAAACTTTGAGGCAGGGAGAATTCTTTTATTTATGGGTGGCCTTAAGTAGTCATGACAGTGAGAGATCCTTATCCTATCTTTGTAATTCATACTATACACTCTTTGGACTTGTTTGTGACCAAGGGAGTTTAGCCAAAATCCTTGAGGTCACCGGTTGATATATTGCATGTGATCTGTTATTATAATATGAAAATATGCGATGATTAAATTATTTATGTGTTATGCCTTTTTGGGATTTTTGTAATGCATTGTACTGTTAATTTGTTGATACTTTATGAGATTGATTTTTCTGTGATGAAATTGACACACATATGACTTATATGTAATATTGTGAAAATGATGTCGGAATGACAAAGTATAATCGATTTCTTAATCGGCAAGAAACCCACAAAGGTAAAAAAGAAGAAATAATGAATTTGGTTATAAACTGATATTCTTTACTTTTTCTCGAAACAAGATTACAAGTGTTACAGAATAACAAATAACCTCTCTCACCCTAATTAGGATTTGCATTGTGCAATGATGAGAGATTAATATGCTATTTATAAGAAAACTAACACACTAAACTAATGGGATTTTACATACAGACCAATTACATAAGCTAACTTAAACAATTGAACTTAACAAACATGCCCGATTCAACATGCTAACATTCCTAGCATACTTCGACTTCGACTACAACATGTGAACAGACTTCAATGACATGCTAATACCCTGTCGAATTTTCAAACCAAGAAAGCTACCCTTCGACCATACTATAGTTCGATCCAATATCTCACAAATCTCCACCTTGGAACAAACTCTATAACATCAAGGAACAAACTAGCTTTCTTCATACACCTTTCTCAATTGTATACAATGGAAAACTTTGTAACTTGGCAATGTCTTGGTGATCTTATCAACAACATTATGATCTGTTTAAACCTTCAGCACTTGGACTTTTGCACACTCGATTACCCATATGATGAAATGCAGCCTCACATCAATGTTCTTGGTTCGCTCATGATACACTTAATTCTTCGACATGTGTATATCACTTTGACTATCACATTTAATAGTGCTAAATCGACCTTGATGTTTCATATCCTTAGCAAAACCTTCAAGCCACATTGTTTCTTTCACAATTTTATTGAGGGCGATATATTCCGCTTCAGTGGTTGATAAGGCAACAACCTTCAGAAGTTTCGCTTTCCAACTGATTGTTGTGCCAAACCTAGTGAACACATATCAGACATAGATTTCCTGGAATCCATACAACCTGCATAATCAGAGTTGATATACCTTTTAATTACTGCTTTACAGTCTTCACCACAGGCCACACCATGAGTAAGAACTCTATTTAGAGACTCATTTATGTACCTTAGAATCCACTTCAATACTTACCAGCGAGCCTTTCCAGAATTTGCCATATACCTGCTTACAAGATTTACTGCATATGATATGTCGGGTCTAGCACAAACGATAACATACGTCAAAGAACCTACTATGTTAGCATATGAGATGCTATTTGTATAAGCTCTTTCGACCTCAGTACTGGGACATTGATCTATACTCAAATTGAATTGAGGATTTATCGGAGTCACAACAAGCTTTAAATTCGATATACCAAACTTGTCGAGAATATTTCGTAGGTATGTCTCTTGAGATAATCATAATTTTGAATTTTTTCTATCTCTTAGGATGTTAATCCCAAGAATCTTGGATGCAACTCCCATATCCTTCATGTTGAACTCCTTATTGAGTTCACCCTTCACATTCATTACATCCTCGACATTGTTTCTTGCTATGAGAATATCATCCACATAAAGCAACAAAATAACAAATGAATTTACAGGTTAAAATTTAAAGTAAACAAAATGGTAGAACTAACTTATAATGAAACCAATGTGTGCCATGAACTTGTCGAATCTCCTATTCCACTGTCGAGGATATTGTTTCAGGCCATATAATGACATGTTTAACTTGCACACATAATCTTCCTTTCCCTTTTCTACATACCCTTCAGGTTTCTTCATAAAGATTGTTTTATCTAGATCTCCATACACGAAAGTAGTCTTCACATCCATTTGCTTCAGTTCTAGGTCGAAATGTGCCACCATGGAAAGTAAATTTCTAATAGACATGTGCTTCATAATAGGAGATAACACATCATTAAAGTTGAAACCTTCTTTCTGAGTGAAACCCCTTGCGACCAATCTTTCCTTGTATCTCTTCGACATCACTCTTTTAAATCCTTCCTTAACTTTGAAAATCAACTTAGAGATGACTAACCTGGCTCTGGCAGGTTTCTTGATCAGTTCCCAAGTGTGATTTTCATCAAGAGATTCCACCTCATCATCCATGGCATTCATCCATTTAGTCTTATTTCGACTCCTCATAACTTCCTTATAGTCTATAGGTTCTTCATCTAGAACTTCATTTGCAAATATTAAGGCATACGTTATGAGATATGCATACCTAAGTCTCTAAGGTGGCTTGATGACTCTTCTTGACCCATCTCTTGTCAATAAGTAGTCATCGACAACTTCCTCAACATCCTTAATATCTTTAACATCTTGTGTTTCTTCTTCAAATTGATATACGCAATTCAGCATCGACATGCTCCACCTCAACAAAAATCCCTTCATGTTCTAGCTTTTCTTCATATATCTCTGCACTTCAACCAACGTCATCTATTTTCTTGAAAGCCATCTCAGCTTCATTGAAAACCATATCTCGATTGGTCATACACCTTCTGTGACCTGGCTCTAGGCACCATAGCCTATAAGCTTTCACTCCTTCAGGGTATCCCATGAACATGCTTCTCAGAAATCTAGGTTCGACCTTGTCTAGCCTAATATGAGCATAGGCTACGCAGACAAATACTCTAAGTTTGTCGAGATTTGATGGATGTCCCGACCAAACTTCTTCAGGTGTCTTCATATCTAACATAGTCGGAGGACATCTGTTTATCAGATATGTTATTGTCAAAACAACCTCTGCTCAAAACAACTTCTTTAACCCATCAATAACCAACATACATCTAACTCTTTCCAAAATGGTTCGATTAAACCTTTCAACCAAACCATTTTGTTGGGGAGTACCTGCAGTAGTTTTGTGTCTTGCAATAACCGAGGCTGCACAAAAAATGTCGAATGCCTCATTGCAAAATTCAAGGCCATTGTCAGTTTTCAACCTCTTGACCTTTCTGCCAGTCTGATTTTCAACCAGAGTATTTCAACTTTTGAAATTCTCAAAAGTTTCATCCTTATTTTTTTGGATGAATACCATAATTTTCTAGAATAATCATCAACTATGGATAGAGAATACCTTGCTCATGAATGTGATGGCCACCTTGCAGGCCCCCAAGGATCAGTATGGATGTAATCAGGGGATACATGTGTTTGTTGTTTGCCTTTATTGAACTTCACTCTGTAAGATTTTCTAAGTACACAAGGTTCACAAAACTTCATCTTTTCGACTTTGTCTCCACCAAGAAGATTATGTTTCCACAGTTCAACCATAACCCTTTCACTGACATGGCTCAATCTCATGTGCCAAATTTTTGTCTTCGACAAAGGTTTCGTGGATGCAACATCTGCATAACCATTGACAACTTCAGCCTCAATGGTAAACAAACCTTATTTCTTCACGCCTCTCAAGACTTCATTTGAACCCTTCATGACTCTTAGGATACTTTTATCTCCTTGAAAAACATATCCTTTCTTTTCGAATTCACCAAGAGAAATCAAATTTCTCTTTAAATCAGATACATACCTGACTTAGTCAACAACCTTATTGACTCATCATAGAGCTTAAATCTCACAGATCAAACACCTGCAATCTTGCAAGCTTTGTTGTTTCCCACCAATACAAATGCACCATCTTTATCACATAGTTCCTCAAACAAGTCTTTGTTTAGATTCATGTGCCAAGTGCAACCTGAATCCATAATCCACTCCTTACTTGAGCTGCTGTTTGAAACTATAAGAACATCAGATGAGTTGAAAGCATCTTGAACAATGTTGTGTTGCCATTATACTTACCTCCATGATCTTTAAGACATTTAGGGCACACTTTTTTGGTATGAACCTCCTTCTTACAGTGATAAAATAAAAAACTATATGCATCACCACTATAAGAATTCTGCTGACTTTTACCTTTCTTTTTGTCGAACTTTCCATCCTTTTTCAAGAATATTCCCTTAACGGACAAACTTTCACCAACAGATGATGGTTTATGCTCCTTTAATTTGTTCAAATCATTAGAATACAAGGCTTATTGAACTTCT